ACTGAGCCCAGATAACAAAAGTATCATCAAACGAGCGTTTCCATACTTTTGGTTTTAGATGGAACATGTCTAAGGCTTTCTTCTCTCTCCTGATGTTTGTTAATAAATTTGACCGTTACCGGAAAAATATATTCCAGCCAAGCATTTTCCAATTCAGATGAAAATATTTGACTCCAGATTCTCGGATTTTAATATATCTGGAATAATGTCGAGAAATCTAGGAATAGGGACTTTAGTAAGTATCAACATCATGATCGACAACCGACGCAGGAGCAATCCAGAGGATTCGTAAATTTTATTGCAGTAGCATTTTGTGTTAAACTGTTTTCTAAAATTTAAAATGAAAAAGTTAGTGGCGGATAACACCAGTTACACAGATTAGCTGTCCATTTTGATTAGGCGAGAGAATATTGTTTCTTTCCTGAAAACCCCTCATGTAAAATGGAAAAGTCACAGCCGCGTGGTTTTTTCCCCGCTTCAATACACTTCCTCTACCCCTGTAAATAGGTACTATCCTCGATCGGGTGGCGCTTACTTCTGATAATTTGCAATGACCCTTAGGGCGTTGTGTCGTAGCTATAATACAGCTTTGCCTTTAACTCAAACGTGACATCCTGGAACGTATGCACATAGTACGCTATTGTGTTCCTCCGTTGTATAATATGACAATTCCGGCGATCAAAGGATTTGGAACGCTCGTGTGTGCACGGCGTACGTAGGGGATTCGTCGTATTTCTCAGGTACGTCTGGTCGGAAGTAATGTATAATCAATACCTGCGGTGTGTGTTACACGCGAGAAGAGCGCCTCAGCTTTATTTTCTCGTCGCAATGGCAAAATTAGATTGAGACAAACGCGGGCAAACGTCGAAGTCGATGCTTTCGATGCAAACTAGCAAATGACACGGTGATATTATGTGGGGCGCGTGATCTCCGGTGAATTATTACCGGTAGAACTTTAAATTTAGCTGGTTGGAAGTTTTCGGGCGCTTGCTTGCACGTGCACAACTTGCAAGCGCGTTGACTTTAAAACGTCCATGAAACTCGTTATTCGAATGATGTGAAGGTAAATACGAGCTGTGGTAGATAATTGATGACTATCTAAACGTTTAGTTAGATGCGACATCTTTTCCTGCCTTCCCATTTTTGACTTCACTGTTTTTGGTGCCGTCCGCTCTCCCGTAGGAGAGCCAGTCTGCCAAAAGCATAGTACATTAAAGGTTTTAAATTAGAAGTCCTGTACATTATTCCATAAATAGCTATTTTTTCCATCTTTTGTTTAATCGCCATATCTTGAATATTATTATTGACAATTATATTAAAATTTACAAATAATTCGTAATGTTATCGTTGCTTATAAATTATTTTAAAAAATGCAAATAAGGCACCGAATATATTAAATTAAAACTGTATAGAAAATCCATTAATTTATTGATATTTATAATATTGCTCTAAATGTTGAAAATGTCCTCTATTTTCCTGAATACGTTAATACCTTCTTTTTAACTTATCTAAAGCATTAATTATTATCCAGTCAGGTTGCAAATCATTTCATTTTTTCATTCATAATTAATTTTCTTAATATAAATAAATTTTGTTTTTTAGTTACTAACATAAAAAAAATCTGAAAAAGTATCATCTGGATTATTGGCCATAATATTATCATGTATCGCCCAATCCATGTTGAATATTTATTATTTAAATCATCTTTCATCCTGTTGCCATACAATTTCAACTCATTCGTTAATTTTGATGCTTTCGAAAATATTTCCTATATCTCTCCTGAAAATTCTTAAATAGATTTCTCCAGTCATAGATTTATAAATGATGGGTCCGATAATTTGTCTGTCAGTCCATAAAATTCGATAAAGAAACCGTGGATCATTGGTATTATTATTGGTATTGTGTCTTATTTTCTGAAATGCTGAACTATGGTAAATTTAAAAGGGCGGAACTTTCCAAGGGAGTGTCATTTGACATCTGATAAAGACACGGTGTTGTCGAAACAATTGTCATGTGAAAATATTTCTTGACTCTTTTATGACTTTAAGTTGGTATGGGCAGCGTTGTTCTTAATATTGTCACTCCCACCATTAAAAATGGCGGTCCGCGTTGTGCGTTTGTTATAGGTAATAAACATATATAATCTACACACTAAACCCTAAAACTTTTCTATTAAACTTTTTTTTTCGAAAATGTAAAATAAAATAGTTATTATGGACAATCCCTGTACCCTGAAGAAAGTGCAATAACTCTTCCATCAGGAGATTTTCGAATCCAGTCAGTGCAGCTCCTAGTTAATCGTCTGTTTCCTAATGGCGCTTAGAAGACGAATGGAAGTTTCTTTCATTTCTAAATACCGCACGCAGCGGATCCGCCGTACTACATCGAGCAAGAAAATCAGCAAATATTGTTACTTAATAAAAATTCTTAGAGGCAGTATCTCGGCTTTTTCTGTCAACAATGTCCTACGGTTCAATTTTTTGAGGGACAACTATGAGATGCGCATCAAGTTTTCCGGGTTGAGAGTACTCTGTACCATAGCGGAAATCAAACTTAAAGCCAATCAGAGAGCTTTTTAGTTCTTTACAAACTATGACGTTGGCATCTCTTTATCTATATGGACTTACAATTACTAGTACAGAAACATGAGGTTCACCCGTACGATACGTTTGTATTAATTATTTCTGCTATATGAAATGTATACATTGGGTCAAGTTAATAAAAATCTATCTCTCTAATACAGTTTACATTACGCAATCCACCGAACACCGTTCTAGAGACTGAAGCCTCTTTTGGCGTTGAGGATTCCATAATTAGGATCTTCAGCTTCTGTCATGGATACCTGCCAATATACAGGGTGTTCGGAAATTCAATGTGTTACAATAATGGGAGTAACTCATGTAACATAAATTAGAAATCTTAATATTTTCCTAGTTAAAGCTTGTCAAAAATCATTTTTTTAAATTTTATTTTCGAAAGTGTTTCAGAAATCTGTCACTAGAGGGCACTTTATCTAGAACATTTTTTTATTTTCCCTGTGTTTTATTTATTTAGACTGATATTGCAAAATAAAAACAGATTGCCTTAAGCAGGATCACAAATCCTCAAAAATGGTTACTCTTGGTTTAAGTCGATAAGTGTTATCGACTTTTTTATTCTCGGTCCGAATACCCCCCTCGCACTTCTAATTTACAGAAAGGTGATACTGGATATCGCGATGTGTATTTCTGTTATGGAAAAGCAAGGGGAAATGTAGGCCAGCATTATTAACCAGTAAGCACTAAACTTTTCAAAATAGTGTGCTACAAATCAAAAAAAGTGAAAAAAAATGGCATAAGTCAATGTTTAATTTGGGTAACATAAAAACATTTAACATTTTGGAAAACAAAAAAATATTAATAACAATCGGGAATTAAACAGTATACAACGCTAATTACAATTGATTTTCTTTAATTTATAAACATTTTCTTATACAATTTCAAAAATGCTGCCATGAAAAAATACTCCTAATCGACTTCTAATGATTTCGCAACCGTTTATTATTTTTTGTCGTAAATCATTGATATCTGTTGTAGATGTTTCATACACCAAAGACTTTAAGTGCCCTCAGAAAAAGAAGTCCATCGGATTAAGGTCTGATGAACGACACGGCCAAGCTAGAGGTCCGCCTCCAACTATCTATCGTTGTTCAAATGCCTGATTTAAATACCTTCGCACAGCCAATGTAAAATCGAGTAGAGCGCCATCTTGCATTAACCACATGTTTTGTCTCCACTGCGAGGGTACTTCTTCCAGGAAAGGTGGTAGTTCCTCTTGGGGAAATTGCAAATACATTTTCCCATTAAGCAATCCGTTGAAGAAATGAGTTCAGTAAAAAAAATAACATTTAAGAATTGCAGGTAATTTTGAATTTTTCCTAAAATTTGATTGTATTTGAACCCTTTGAACATGAAAGGGCCGAAGATCATTTTCATGCAATCAAGCAATCCTTTCCTGATTCGTGGTGCTTGATCTATATTTCTGTGTGTAGTCCGTTGAGAATTGAATGATTGTTGACAAGCTATAACTCGAAAAATATAGTAATATAGTAATAAGTGTGCAATTTATAGTGTAGGAGTATGTGTATATTTTAGGTTAACTGGGCCTTTCTAGATTTTTCAGCCCGGAGGTTCTTCTCCTGCCGGGTCCTTTATTACCGCTTATCATGGCAGTATTTCGTATTTCCGCAGTTGAATGAACCACCGATATTGGATGTTTTCGTGGAGGGAGACCGAATCGAACGCAAACGGCGGACTTTCATATAAATACGTGGCTTAATATAAACTCTCAACAAATGCGGGAGCGGTCTGAAACGCGGGGTTTCCACCTGTTTTCCCGCAGAGGTTTCCGTTCACGGATAAAATCGCTTTGGCCTATACCGAGCTACCCCGCAATCTCACAAAAAAAAATATGAAAAGGTGACGTGAAAAGGGGCCGGTTTTTTGTACCGCCGAAATTACGTATGCATCTCGATTTTTTCGCCGCACGCTCCGACGAAAGGGGTATAAATCAAAACCCGTAGGGACATTAATCAAAGATATTCTTTTTATTTGACTTTCGCCTGGATCTTTTTGCGTTATGATTCGGGGCAGAAGTTTTTGTTTGCGATAAGGTTTTCCCGAATCGAACGCCGCCTAATGTATTGCGGAACGCGACCATTTGTCAACCGAGCTCGCATCGGGTAGGTATACCTATATATAGGGATGAAAAAGCAACTTTAATAATAGGAACTGAGCGGGCCTTAAATAAATGAAAACACGTCGGGAACCCTCGTCAAATGCAACGGGCCGGAAAATTTTGCGTTTCTTCACCGCGGGGGAGGGGCGGCCGGGAGAAAATCGTCTAAGTCAGACGCGGAAAGGCGCTGAACTTTAGGACCATCCTCGAAGTTAGAATTAGTATTAATACGAGTATTTAACTTTCAAAATACCCTGACACGCGTCGTTAGCCATCGAACTTACCCCCGTGTATACTCCACAAGCGTAGCTGCCCTTTCTAACTGACCTCCAGCAGCAGCAAGAGTGTAGAATGGTCATCGTCTGCAATCAGCGAAACGTCATCGCTTGTCATATAACTGAAACGTAAAAGAAATTTCACTTCAAAAACGCGAAGCCACCAACCAAAACCATTTCCACTGTTTGTTGTTCTACGTTAGATTAGTGCAAGGCTGGAAGACAGATAAGCTGACGGTTAGATACTAGCCACTTTAAGCATTTTTAGCATTTAAATATTTTTTCTAATCCTGTCTGTAAAATGCCGAATTACACACCGCGTCAGTTTCGTTTCCCACGGATCCAAGTCACTTCGGACATTTTCGGGATTTTACCGCACAGCATTGGGAGCAATCGGATGTTTTCGGATATATTTTCCCACGCCTTGAATTTTGACGTTTGTCAATTCGGGCGGTCATGTCAATGAATGTATTCGTGTTTTGCGAAAATGTACCCAAAAACTAACGGTCGTAGAACAAGTATAGTATGCAACACGTTCGGTAAACTTTTACAGTCACGCTTTTATTAAACATTCGCTCCACTTGTGTCAAATAAACTCGTGAGCGGCTTTACCGCACTTATTCCATAATATACTATTGAGGCAGGTAATAGGTAATTAGTTAACGAAATTGCTAACTAAAATAGTTAATCAAACTACGATCTGGTTGATCATTATACCGTTCGAGTTGATATCAGCTGATAAATAGCTTTGTTTGGTTTTGGAAGTTATCAATACAACTTTTAAGTATTATAGCCTAATCTAGCATATTTTACTTCTTCGTATTTTTAACTGTTTAGTCCTATGGAAATAGTTGTGGAAGGTGTTAATTACTCAGAACCTTTTCTAATCGTCTTGGTTAGTTTTGATTAGTTTAGCGTTCTTGTGTTTTGGGTGTGTATACTCTTCTAATGTTAGATGAATAGTTGGGAATGCCTAAAACGAATGAAAAAAAAAAACAAATTAAATTAAATAACTCCAGCTCCGAAGCGAGAAAAACAAAAGCGAAAAAAAAACGGAATCACCGCGGTCGTTTTAACAAGCGGATTGATTCGGCTCTATGGAAAGTAATGAAGTCGAAGCGTTTGGTTGTAAAAAAAGCAAATTGATCGTATTATTCTCTGGGCGCCGTAATAGGCTTGCAATGGCTGCGGCGCACGGGCAAATATGAAAAGCCCTTAATTGGGGACGCAGGATGCGGGGAAGTTGGTTAACGTTTTGCTGAAACTTTCGGAAGTAAAAATACACCAGTCAAAATTCCGATACGCGGCAACATATTGCGAATACCGACACACCATCGATGTGAGTCGCCGCTACTCTACCCAGGTTTATCGATACGAGTGTAATACCGCTTGGGCGGGGGTGGGGAGGGGGGGCTTGAGTTTGCTGCCAGCCGCATCGGCTTGTATTTCAAGAAATTTAGTTCCTATTTGATGACTACAACCCAGTCCGAATGATTATTAGAATATACCACCATAGCTGCCAGTAAGATTACTACGTTATCCTCATTTCTTGTGCCTCTGGATTAGTAGAGACAAGAATTCGGTCAGAAAAACTACTAGACAAAACACGACCATAGGGAAAATGAGTATTAACGACCCATTAATTGAATGGGAAAAAATCATTTTCTCAGTCAGTCAGTGCAGTACTGAATTGATTTAGAGATATACTATACACATACGGAGCTGTTTTCATACATCCTGTATATACTGAGGTCTCTCTGAAATTCTGCCCTACATTTCATGGTTTGGACATGAGAAAATTAAATTAGTCGAGTCTAGCTAAAGTTCGTCATCTGAACTTCCGAGTTCGTGGCCTGCCGATGAAGCAATACGGATCAGAATTTTCTCTGCACGTAATAAAAAACGACTTTCCCTAAAAGATAAAGAAAGAGAAGAGAAGAAAAGATAAAACTATGAAGAATAATAGAGCCCAGTGGCCCAGAAGGTATACCTGCAGAATTGTTGAAATATGCTTCGAATTATCTCATAGGTTTGCTGACAGTTCTTTTCGAAAAATACATTAATGGCGTACCAGAAGAATGGAAGATGGCATGGATATCACCGATACATAAAAAAGCTAGGAAAGATCTATGCGAAAACTATAGGCGCATATCCGTAACAAGCTCCATTAGTCGATTGCATGGAAAAGTCCTTCGAAATATTATAGAAAAGAAATATGAACCATCTGAAATTGAGCAGCCAGAACATGCATTGACAATATTTTTAGTTTAAATCAGTTAACGGAAAAGAAAACTGCCACAAATGGAGAAACTCACCTTCTATTTGTAGATCTGACCAAAGCATACGATACGGTACCTATAAACAAACTCTGGAAAGTACTGATGAAATCATCCATTAACACACAGTACATCAAAAGTCAAAATAGGCAAAGAATTGTCAGAAGGTTTTGCCGTTACGAAGGGCCTGCGACAAGGATGTTGTCTGTCCCCGACACTGTTCAAAATATATCTCAACGAAGTTTTGAGATATTGGAGAAGGAGCTGCCAGGGCATGGGAATAGAGATAGATGACACAACCACCCTATACACACTATATTTTGCAGACGACCAGGTGATTATAGCCCAGGACAAGGAAGATCTATAATATCTGGCAAGAAAGATTATTGAACAATATGAAAAATGGGGACTGTCAGTGAACTTAAAGAAGACAAAATATCTTAACATCGGTGGAGTACAACAGGTACTAGACCTAGAAAACGGCAACAAAATCGAAGCATGCGAAAAAATGTATACTTGGGAACAGTGATGAATCATAGCGGATGGACTGAGAGAGAGATAGACAACAGGCTTATAAAAGGAAAACAAATTATGGGAGCTTTAAACTCTGTTTTATGGTCGAAAAACATAAGTAAAGATAGGGAACACCAATTTAAAAGTGTCCTATTATACGGATGTGGAACATGGCAACTAAATAAAACATCAGAAAAAAAATTAAATACCATCGAAACTGACTTTTGGAGAAGATCAGCTGGAATATCTAGACGCGATAGAATCACCAACGAAAGAGTCAGAGAGAACAATTGTAGAAGATATCCAAGAGCGCCAATTAAGATGCTTTGGCCATGTCCAAAGGATGGATGACCGAAGAATACCTAAGAAAATGATGAGTTGGAGGCGCCAAAAAAAAAAGAAAACGGGGAAGACCTAAAATAACGTGGGAAAAAGGTATAGAACGAGCCATGTCAGAACGAAATTTGAGACCAGGTGATTGGAATAACCGTCGAGAATGGAGACTGGGAACCGGAAAGCGCAGGACGCTATAACCCCGGATATATATAGCCCTAAAAGATCAGAGTTGCTGAGATCTGAACGGTTTTTCTCTTTACCGTTAGATACTTGAATAAGGCTGCATGTCATCATGTGGATGGTTTAGGCTTAGGCACACCTTTTCTCTTATTTTATATTGGAGTGAAAATCTAACATCATGGGAACAAGCTGTCTGAACTAAAACTGCATTATATTAATACCACAATATTTTAACGAAGACCATCTTCCCTTATGGACTCATTTTTTCGAACCGAATAGGGGAGGATCTAAATAGTTCTAAAACCGAAAAGTATGCGTTATTGTTGGGAAGATGATCGAGCTGGCTATTAGCATCAGGGATTTGAAGGCGAATTGAGGATAAACAGGTTGCTTATGAAACCTTTGAAAACATTGAATACCGCATCAGAATGACGCCTGCAATAGAAGGTTAATGAGTTAGTAGAATGCTAAAATAAGTGAGTGAGTGAGGCTTTTTTATTGAAGCGAAACAGGGGTTACCAGAAAACTTTTGCCCACTTGTATGGAAAGAGGTACCTCTGGAGTTGAATTTTAATCAATTTTTTGTAGGTAAAGGCTCGCACCTAAATAAGAAAAGATTTACGTTCAATGCTGAGTTACTCTCACATTCCATGTCTAATTTTCCAGCCATAAGTGTTTTAGAATCGGCGCTGCTATACTACTAGTGCATTATTATCGATCTACCCCTTATAAGTGCTAAGCTCGCATCTTAGGGGTAAATTTCCCGTGTTGCTTTTCTGTCGTCGGCTTTATCGGCCCGTCGGAGGAAAGAAACCGAACGATTCGTCGAAATACGGCGAAATGGAATAGGGGAGTGGAGGCCAAGGTCGTCGGAACCTTCAAGGTCGTGCTATGAAAACGAATTAATTTAAACTTCTGGCGAAAATTCGGTTGCCCCTAATTCCGCGGGCCCGGGGGGACGGGAGTGATATATATCGCGTGTTTTGTATAATATAAAATGGCGACCGGGTGGCGGAATATTTTTTTATCCGGCAGCGCCAAATTGCCGCGTCGTGATAAAAAATGTGGGCAAAAAATTTTCGTAATTTATTGGTTGGGATTTGAATTTATGAACTCGCGAGCTCTGAAAAAAAAAATATCAAACGCACCGGATTTATGTGGCGGCGTAATTGAAAGGGATATCGTTCGGGCGGGGATGTTTTTTTTTCGCGTTTTTCATTAGCACCCGCGCGGGCGGAGACTCGAATGTCTTAAGTAATCGCGGTAGGGCACTTAGTCGGATTGGCGAATTAGTAAGTGTCGGTGTGGAAAGGCGGATTCGGTTTCTCTGGTATAAATCATGAAGCGGGGGTTCATTAACATAACCCCCCTGCCTACCCCCCCACCTTGCGCCCCGTTGAAAATCTGAGCTTTCTCCTCGAAAGAAACCCTCGAAGAAACACAGGATTACAATAAACTGCTGTACTCTCTTTGACACCTCTACATAATTTTATTAATGTACAGTGATATACTTCCACCAGAAATATAGTGCTTTTACAACCGACCCCGTGATTAACATTGTCTAGCGTTTTTACTACAAAACTCGCAGCCCTTTATAGAACACCCTGCCGAGCAGAACCTTACCCGTAACCATTCCAGGACCGTTCTAGGAATTTATCTACCTACACTAACAAGCAGGATATAAGTATGTTTTGATTCTTTTTCGCCTAGTAAATTAGTACAAAGTAACAATTTATTACGTTCTATTTCATTACATTTCTACATAGTATCATTATTAATAAAGAAAATATTAATAATATTAATAAAATATTAAAATA